ACTTTACTTATTAATATAAGCAAAAGTACATTGGCATTAAAAACGTAAGTGTCAGAAGTAAAAGTATTTCTGTAATGTGAATATTAATTTACTGGATTGTGATTATTGATGCTTAATAGTTGGTAAAGGTGCAGCTAATTGTTTTTACTTTGTGTACTGATGGATATCTTTACCAACAATTATATGTCATTGTTTATGTATAAGTTGTTGTGTATTTTGGATCAGGCAATAATCTGAATCTGTAAAGAAACTAGTAAGTAAAACCTGTTGTGGAGTAAAAAGTACAAACTCGGCTTTAAAAATGTGGTGAACTATAAGTAGAATAAAATGGAGATATCTTAGTAAAGTACATGGACCTTCAAATTGTACTCAAAACCAACATGTACCTACTTACTTTCCACCAATCTCAATCTTTATTTATATAACACATTTAAAACAACCTCAGTTGCCCAAAGTGCTGTACAGGGAACCAATCAAATGTAAAATAACACAATAGGAATATATATATCTGTGTCTCTCCGCAGACATCGCCAACAAGGTGCTCCTGTCCCTGTTCACGGTGGAGATGCTGCTGAAGATGTACAGCCTGGGATTGGCTCATTACTTCGTGGCGTTCTTTAACCGCTTCGACTGCTTCGTGGTGTGCGGCGGCATCATGGAGACCATCCTGGTGGAGCTGGGCATCATGCCGCCGCTCGGCATCTCCGTGCTGCGCTGCGTCCGCCTGCTCCGGATCTTCAAGGTCACACGGTGAGGAAAACAAACGCTCCTGATTCACAAATGAGGAGAAGCCTGCAAGTTCGTTCAGGAAGTCAACTCGAGCAGGTATTTGTGTTCAACATGTGAGAAGTAGAAAGTACAGGTATTTGTGTTCAACATGTGAGAAGTAGAAAGTACAGGTATTTGTGTTCAACATGTAAGAAGTAGAAAGTACAGGTATTTGTGTTCAACATGTGAGAAGTAGAAAGTACAGGTATTTGTGTTCAACATGTAAGAAGTAGAAAGTACAGGTATTTGTGTTCAACATGTAGGAAGTAGAAAGTACAGGTATTTGTGTTCAACATGTAAGAAGTAGAAAGTACAGGTATTTGTGTTCAACATGTAAGAAGTAGAAAGTACAGGTATTTGAGTTCAACATGTAAGAAGTAGAAAGTACAGGTATTTGTGTTCAACATGTAGGAAGTAGAAAGTACAGGTATTTGTGTTCAACATGTAAGAAGTAGAAAGTACAGGTATTTGTGTTCAACATGTAAGAAGTAGAAAGTACAGGTATTTGTGTTATGTAAGAAGTCAAAGTAAAAGTTGTCAGAAAAACAAGTAGTGGAGTAAAGTACTGATACCAGAAAAATGTACTTAAGTACAGAAACAAAGTATTTGTACTCCACTACTTCCACCTCTGCCCAACTCATACTATATGCTGCTTCTAATAAACATATCAAAGAAACACGCGAGTGGTCCGACTGAACTACAGATATACGTGTAGTTGAGAAAGTACCTGGATGTCTTAGAATTAGATCAGAAACGTTATCACAAGGGAAAATGGGTTTTGTGATAGTTGCTCTATTTTAGAATGAAATTAAACAAATATTTTCAAAATAATTAAAATATGTATATAGTCATAAGCATTTAAAGTAAGAATGTGCAATAAAAAGATACAATTTAATTAAATAAAGACATATATTTAAGCATAAGATGTTACAAATAAAATGACTAATAAAATATCAAATTCAATCAAATTAAAATATATATAGAAACATAGGAAGTTAAAGTAAGAATGTGCCATAAATATATCAAATTAAATATTATTATTATTATTAGTAGTAGTGTGTCTCGCTCTGATGTCACTGTGATGTCACTCTGTTTCTGCGCAGCCATTGGACGGCTCTCTCTAACCTGGTGGCGTCTCTGCTGAACTCCATGAAGTCCATCGCCTCGCTGCTGCTGCTGCTCTTCCTCTTCCTCATCATCTTCGCTCTGCTCGGCATGCAGCTGTTCGGAGGAAAGTTCAACTTCGACGAGACGCAGACCAAACGCAGCACCTTCGACGCCTTCCCCCAGGCGCTGCTCACCTGCTTCCAGGTAACTCAGGATCTGTTTCTCCCATCAGTATGATACCACGCTCATTAGACTAATATGTTATATATCATGGCTTTTATTCTGCTGAACCCACCGGAGGTTAGGTGAGGGTGGCAGACACACATCTCCCAAAAAGCGTGCACAGACAGTGGCGACTGGTCATTAGGGGCAGGTGGGGCACAGCCCCACCTAGTGTCAGCAGAAAGTATTAAAATAATGATTACAACAAAATGCAAAAAATTAATTAAAATATATATAAAATATATTTTAAGATCATGTTTAATCATCTGATTCGTCTGTACATTGCTGTTTTAGTATGTGTTCTTCTAATTAGTGTCTACAGTGTGTGCCTATTGAGCTGTTTAGAGCCATGTGGGACAAAACCCGATCCTGCCCCTCCCTCTCACTGTCTAAGTGAACGGTGACTGTAAAAACTACACTGCGCATGCTCAGAGTATTTTCCTATTTAATGTGTGTGGCAAAAAATAATGACCATAGGGGCATAGAGCTGCCATCCCCACCATACGTCATCTCACATCATTCAGAGCTGATTGGCTGTAAGTACGTGTGCCGCGAAAAGTGTGGTGTGTGAAGAGCAGGTGAAGAGGAGGAGAGAGACGCGTCCTAAAACCAGGAAGTAAGCTGCGCATGGCTTCCCTCCACAAAAAAGCAATGAGATTTCTCCATAGGATTTTAGAAAATAGCTCGAATCGAGTGGCCCATGGTGGTGGTGGGGTTATGGTATGGGCAGGCGTATGTTACGGACGACGAACACAGGCCACTCGATTCACAACATTACCCTAACCCTAACCCTACCCCTCACACCAGATACTGACTGGTTTTCGGACCCCCCCAATAAAGCAAAAATGCACGTTTCAGAGTGGCCTTTTATTGTGGCCAGCCTAAGGCACACTTGTGCAATAATCATGCTGTCTAATCAGCATCTTGATATGCCACACCTGTGAGGTGGGATGGATTATCTCGGCAAAGGAGAAGTGCTCACTATCACATATTCTTTCAGATTTGTGAACAATATTTGAGAGAAATGGTTATTTTGTGTATATAGAAAATGTTTTAGATCTTTGAGTTCAACTCATGAAAAATGGGAGCAAAAACAAAAGTGTTGCGTTTATATTTTTGTTCAGTGTATCTATCTATCTATCTTACTATCCATCTATCTATCTATCTATCTTACTATCCATCTATCTATCTTACTATCCATCTATCTATCTATCTATCTTACTATCCATCTATCTATCCATCTATCTTACTATCCATCTATCTATCTTACTATCCATCTATCTATCTATCTATCTTACTATCCATCTATCTATCTTACTATCCATTTATCTATCTATCTATCTTACTATCTATCTATAATATCTATCCATCTACCTATCTATCTATCTATCTTACTATCCATCTATCTATCTTACTATCCATCTATCTATCCATCTATCTTACTATCCATCTATCTATCTTACTATCCATCTATCTATCTATCTATCTTACTATCCATCTATCTATCTTACTATCCATCTATCTATCTATCTATCTATCTATCTTACTATCTATCTATAATATCTATCCATCTACCTATCTATCTATATATCTTACTATCCATCTATCTATCTATCTATCCATCTATCTATCTATCTATCTATCCATCTATCCATCTACCTATCTATCTATATATCTTACTATCCATCTATCTATCTATCTATCTATCTATCTATCTATCTATCTATCTATCTATCCATCTATCTATCTATCTATCTATCCATCTATCCATCTATCTATCTTACTATCCATCTATCTATCTTACTATCCATCTATCTATCTATCTTACTATCATCTATCTATCTATCTATCTATCTATCTATCCATCTATCTATATATCTATCTATCTATCTATCTATCTTACTATCCATCTATCTATCTTACTATCCATCTATCTATCTATCTTACTATCATCTATCTATCTATCTATCTATCTATCTATCCATCTATCTATCTATCTATCTATCCATCTATCCATCTATCTATCTTACTATCCATCTATCTATCTTACTATCCATCTATCTATCTATCTTACTATCCATCTATCTATATATCTATCTATCGATCTATCTATCTATCTCTCTCTCTAACTATCCATCTATCTTACTATCATCTATCTAACTATCTATCTATCTATCTTTTATCAAGCAATACACTCCGGTTGACTTTTACAGAAATTCCCAAAATCCCAAATAGTCATTTGTTTTAGGCAATTTATAATGCATATAATAATAAGCCAAATAATGTCTTTGGTAAACTTTAGGCTTTCCGCTTTCTAACCTGAGTAAAATCATATTTATTATCTATTCAGAGACAATCAGCCTCTGATACACGTGGAGCCTCATGTCAAAGTCAAAGTCAACTTTATTGTCAATCTTTCAGTTTGTGTGTACAGACAGAGAGATCGAAATACCGTTTCCCACAATCCTGAATATAAAAACAAATATATATACAAATATGCATGCAAATATGTATATCCTATATACACAATCAAAGGACACATTTATACATATGCACACATTAAGACCTACATAAAAGCACAACAATCAACAAAATAACAGTCACTTCAATATCTTGAGAATGTGCGTTAGTGCAAGACTAATAGCAGCGTAAAAAGTGTCTGGTGCTGGATTTGAGTGTCTGAGTGTGTGGGAGTTTTGTTCTGCTGTTCCTTTTGCTTTCAAGTGTGTGTGCTTGTGTGTGCAGATCCTGACCGGAGAGGACTGGAACATGGTGATGTACGACGGCATCATGGCGTACGGAGGGCCCGTGTTTCCGGGGATGATTGTCTGCATTTACTTCGTCATCCTCTTCATCTGTGGTAACTGTATCCTTCTCCTGCAGAGAGCTCACTGTGAGGCGTTCACTGTCCAGATGTATAGAAACATTTCTTCTTTATCATCATGCAAAAATAATTAGCCTTTGAAACTAAAACACAAACTCTTCTTCCACAGAAGTGTTCAGATATCTGTGGCAGTCTCTAGTTGATTGGAGGTTTATTCAGATCACCTGTTGTCTCGTAATTATGAAGAATTAAGAGTATCTTGGTGCATTTCTACTCGTCATGGTGAAAAAACTACAATGGGGGTTACAAACTCATAACACTAGAACCGCCAACGGGTACATTTTACCCGCAGCTGTTTCTTGATTGTATGTAACTTATTTTCAACAAAATATTCAAGTCTCCCAGTCCGTGACTTTTCCTGAAAGTCTGTTATGTAGCACCCTCTGTTGTTAAAAATTGTCAACATGAAGTCAGATCGAAAACATTGCCATTTATACCCATCAGCGCCAACGGGTAAAATGTAGCCTACCTTATAGAAAATGCAGTGATTTTCACGCTATTGATCTCGCGCAAAAACATAAACATGACGTGCTGCTATAGCAACGCCTGTTGTTTACTGCGGTTCCTTATGGATAGAGAGAGAGATAGATAGATAGATAGATAGATAGATAGATAGATAGATGGATGGATAGCTAGATAGATAGATAGATAGATAGATAGATAGAGAGATATCTATCTATCTATCTATCTATCTATCTATCTATCTATCTATCTATCTATCTATCTATCTATCTATGTAGCGATCTTTTATACTTCGTGCAATCTGCATGAGGTATACAAATATGCAACGCTGAGAGTCCACAGATTCTATTGGTATAAGTTTCATCACTGTGCGATCAAAACTCACTGTTAACCCTGTGTTCTAGTATGATAAATAAAAGAAACCTTGAAAGTCCCTTGAAAATCAATGCGTACATTTTACCCGTTGGCTGTTTTAGGTATACAGCGCCCCCTAGCGGTTCTGGTCTTAAGCAGATATTCTCAGCCAGAACCTCTATTCTCTGAGCCATTTTGAGACTTGTTTACTGTTTTACTGATTTTGAGCAAACATATCTGGATTGAATGTTAAAGAGCACTTTTATACTAAGTAACCTGCATTGAGACACATTTTAGTATTACTTTCTTTTGGCTAAAATAATAATGAAAAAGCAACATCTGTTTAAGGCAATTTCATTTTTTGATTAATGTTGATAGAATTTGTATGCCCTTTTTATTTATTGAAAATGGTTTATTTTTATTATTAAATAGGCAATTATTTATTATTAAAAAGTAATTTTACTATAATTCAGGCATTTTCTTAACTATATAATTATTATGTTTGTATTATTTATGCATTTCATTTTGAATGCACTTGTTAAATGGGATGATGGTACGTGTTTGGGGACACTCACTTTGTTTATAACTCTCAGTGTAACGCAGCGTACAGTTTTAGCATGCTAACAAGCACGCCACCACTTCACCCACAGGCTGTTGTTTCACTGTGGACATGCTAATATTAGAATAAAACATAATTAGCAGCATATTGCCCTAAACAGAACCTGCAGCTGTCAGATAAAAAACAATGTTTCCTTTTAAAAGTCCCCTATTATACTGTTTTTCATCAATGTATTATAGGTCTCAGATTTATACAGAACCTGTCTCTGATTGGCTGAAACACCAAACAGATCATTGCAGCATTACCCATAATCCCCTCTGTTTCAGCCCTGTTTCCAAAGTGCTGATTCTCTGTCTGTTACTTTAGATGAAAATAAGGAGCCCCTCCCCACGCCCCTCTGAGAGAGATTTGGTTACAAAGAACTCAATGGTGCTCTAGGAGGAGATTCAGGTGATAAGGGGGGGGGTTACCTTGGTTGCTGATTGGCTAATGGTTACACAAGACAAAACATCGTGATGACATCATAAAGTGGCCAAAATCCGATCAGCTCATTTTCAGACAGGTTTTTATATAAATGGATCAAAAAGAGAGAGAATCTGTGTTCCTGAAACTTTCAGAGTCTCTTTCCACAGAGGGGACACATGTTGATGTAGAAGAGACATGAAGAAGAGGGGACACATGTTGATGTAGAAGAGACATGAAGAAGAGGGGACACATGTTGATGTAGAAGAGACATGAGGAAGAGGGGACACATGTTGATGTAGAAGAGACATGAAGAAGAGGGGACACATGTTGATGTAGAAGAGACATGAGAAAGTGGATTTTGCATAATAGGCCCCCTTTCTGTAGTTTGTTGTGTTTTCTTAACGTGTGTCAGACATCCTGCTGAACGTCTTCTTGGCCATCGCCGTGGACAACCTGGCAGGAGGGGACGGAGATACCAAGAAGAACGAGTGAGTCCAACTCCTGTGTTTATGTGTATATTTACATATGAATATGTTTACTCGTGTGCAAAGCCTGATAATGAACTGCTGCTGTAATCAAATAATTAGATCTTCATATATTATAAACACACAGTGAATACAATACATGTCAACACTATACGCTGTGTTTACCTGTCAGAATACAAATCAGGGTTTATGCAAATGAGGTTTCTTACATACAAAGAATTTACTTGGGAGTGCATATATGAACACAGTAAGAGGAATTTAAATATAATAATAAAAACTATTATAAAATCTATAATAACAATAATAATCAAAAAGTCTAAAATAAGAAATAATTGTAATGTTTACAAGCAATATAAATATGGAAAATAGTCAATACAATACATGTATGACATTAAGAAAGACAGGTAGTGAAAGTGGTATTATTGTGCAGAAATGTGCAGAATAGTCAAATAGTCACACAGTAGCGAGTATCTGCAGAACACACAATGTAACATATAAAATAAAGCATATTTAAACATACAGTGTAGCACACAAGATCACTATGATATACCACAATACTACAAATAAAATAAACATATAGGATACACTCACTGAAATTTTTTTAAAGTGTGCAGTCGGTGCAGCTTTTTTTATTTTTAAAAGAGACGTTATAATGGTAGAAAGAACCATAACAAACAAGATGGAAAAGAGAGGATCACAATGGTGAGGATAAAATGAAGATGTGTTTAATTATTTCCTGTTGTTTCTGCAGAAAGAAAAAGCCGGAGGGAACCGAGGCGGCTGCAGAAGAGGGAGGGGAGGGAGCAGAAGAAGAAGTGAAGGTGAACATCGAGGTATGACTTTAATCTTTAATGTTTTATCTTAAAGGTCTCCTATTATGCAAAATCCACTTCATCATGTCTCTTCTACATCAACATGTGTCCCCTCTTCTTCATGTCTCTTCTACATCAACATGTGTCCCCTCTTCTTCATGTCTCTTCTACATCAACATGTGTCCCCTCTTCTTCATGTCTCTTCTACATCAACATGTGTCCCCTCTTCTTCATGTCTCTTCTACATCAACATGTGTCCCCTCTTCTTCATGTCTCTTCTACATCAACATGTGTCCCCTCTTCTTCATGTCTCTTCTACATCAACATGTGTCCCCTCTTCTTCATGTCTCTTCTACGTCAACATATGTCCCCTCTTCTTCATGTCTCTTCTACATCAACATGTGTCCCCTCTTCTTCATGTCTCTTCTTCATCAACATGTGTCCCCTCTGTGTAAAGAGATGTTTTGTCTTGTGTAACCATTAGCCAATCAGCAACCAAGGTAACCCCCCCCCCCACCTTATCACATGAATCTCCTCCTAGAGCACCATTGAGTTCTTTGTAACCAAATCTCTCTCAGAGGGGCGTGGGGAGGGGCTCCTTATTTTCATCTAAAGTAACAGACAGAGAATCAGCTCTTTGGAAACAGGGCTGAAACAGAGGGGATTATGGGTAATGCTGCAATGATCTGTTTGGTCTTTCAGCCAATCAGAGACAGGTTCTGTATATATCTGAGACCTGTGATATATTCATGAAAAACTGTATAATTTAAAATGTGACTCCATCAATCTGAAGCTCGGCTGTTTCTGCAGGTGGACATCGATGAAGACACGGAGTACGAGGAGGAAGAGGAGCTGCCTATAGAAGATGGTCAGTTTCAACACATTTGTTTACCATTTTTTAAATGTATTTTCTATGATGTTGGTGATGTGTGTGTTTCTGTTTGAACCATCATCATAATCTATAGTCCAGGCAATCAGATGATGGTTGGCCCACTCTTGTATAATTACAGAGCAGTTAATTATCAGATACATTCATTTATAAATCAATATGCAAGATAATGCTTATTTTACTTGTGGGGTTTTAAGGTGTTATGTCATAAGATGTCTTCTTTCTTTTCTGACACAGATGCAGGAGTCCAGTTAAAGATCGCCGACCTGGCTCCTCCCAAAGAGAAAGTTCAACCAATCCCAGAAGGCAGTGCGTTCTTCTGCCTCAGCAAAACAAACCCGTAAGTAACACATATATGTACCTGAAACCTGAGATGGCTAAAGTACACACTTCCTTTACTCAAGTAGCAGTACAGATACTCATGTTTAAAAATACTCTGGTAAAAGTAGAAGTACTGACTACATTTCTTTACTCAAGTAAAAGTAAGAAAGTATGGGCTTCGAAATGTACTTAAGTAAAAAGTACCCATAACTACGAGCTGTTTTAACCTCTTAAGCCCCACGGACCCGGTTCCGGGGCCGAAATCGCGTCATTTGCAGGAAACAACGTCTAACGAACCTTAATATTTAATAAACTATGAATATTTTATATCCATATAACGGAAAAAAACTCATTATAACTGATCTTTTTCATTTTATTTAAACAAAGAAAAAAACACAATGCAAACAGTGAGGCTCTGAATTAGCCCAGAGCGAAAAATGCTAACCTATTACTGCACCGAAAATCACTCCTAGCTCCCTTATTACTTATCCTAGCTGCACATCCAACACATCGTTTATGATCGCAAGGAGACACAGCATCTAACAGTGCCCACCTCAACACTGAAAGATACACAAACGTACATCAAAACATGTGGCGCTAGGTAGCCAAAAACGCTAACAGGGCTTACCTTGGTCTTTGTCTGGTCAAAACGGGTCTTCAATGGCATTAAAACGATAAAAACGATGCTGTAGTTAATCCATAGGTTAATATCCAATGTGGCTGTGTCCCCTTTGAAATGTTCTGATAATCCATAAGCAATACAACTGATTTTCCGTTGCTTGATATCAGAGCAGGGATATTTCTACCCTCTGCTGCAAGCTTCATGCGCAAAGACGCAACCTTTTTTTTTTTAACATGAGTGTGTGCGGGACGATTTCTCTTGGATTCTATTGGCTCTAACGGTCAGGAAGAGATGTCACATGTCAAAATCGAGCAAGGGGGGCCAGAGATATGGAAAATCCACCCAAATGACCCCAGAAGAGGTTTTTTTTGCTAAATCTGTCTAAAAAGGTCAAATATCACTTGTTTTGCATCAATCTTGATACAGGGTACTTATTATATGTTGTACTTTGGATTCCTAAAGCTTTTAGTCTACTAACCCATCATTAGTTTTCACTATAAGTACAACATATTTTTTGGACGGACACTATAATTTACAGTTTTTTACCATGTTCAATCTGAATTTTCTTTCAAATAAAAAACATCTATATTGATTCTGACTTTTCTACATCCAACTCATAGGTTTATCATTACTTTGAGAAAAAAGATTATTAATTTAACCCTTTTAGAAGGGAAGATATGGTCATTTGTTCTGGGAATATCATTTTCGAGCCTGAAACCTGAAAAACAGGCTTGGGGCTTAACAGTTCAAGAGTAACTGACCTCCCTTTATATTAATAGAACAATAATGTCATTGTTAGCTAATGAATGTTTCCATGCTGAACAACGGCAACATGACAACGTTTCTATTGGTCCCTCTTCTTTAGAGAAGACCAGGAAATGATGGATACATGGATCGTGTTCAAATCAATAGGCACGCAATGACTCTAAAGAATAATGATAACGCCACCAAACACACATTCAGACTAAAGGAACCAGCTGTTTGGAAAATGAGAGAAGTAGAAAGTACAGGTATTTGTGTTTAACATGTAAGAAGTAGAAAGTACAGGTATTTGAGTTCAACATGTAAGAAGTAGAAAGTACAGGTATTTGAGTTCAACATGTAAAAAGTAGAAAGTACAGGTATTTGTGTTCAACATGTAAGAAGTAGAAAGTACAGGTATTTGAGTTCAACATGTAAGAAGTAGAAAGTACAGGTATTTGTGTTCAACATGTAAGAAGTAGAAAGTACAGGTATTTGAGTTCAACATGTGAGAAGTAGAAAGTTCAGGTATTTGAGTTCAACATGTAAGAAGTAGAAAGTACAGGTATTTGAGTTCAACATGTAAGAAGTAGAAAGTACAGGTATTTGAGTTCAACATGTAAGAAGTAGAAAGTACAGGTATTTGAGTTCAACATGTGAGAAGTAGAAAGTTCAGGTATTTGAGTTCAACATGTAAGAAGTAGAAAGTACAGGTATTTGAGTTCAACATGTAAGAAGTAGAAAGTACAGGTATTTGAGTTCAACATGTAAGAAGTAGAAAGTTCAGGTATTTGAGTTCAACATGTAAGAAGTAGAAAGTACAGGTATTTGTGTTCAACATGTAAGAAGTAGAAAGTACAGGTATTTGAGTTCAACATGTAAGAAGTAGAAAGTTCAGGTATTTGAGTTCAACATGTAAGAAGTAGAAAGTACAGGTATTTGAGTTCAACATGTAAGAAGTAGAAAGTACAGGTATTTGAGTTCAACATGTAAGAAGTAGAAAGTTCAGGTATTTGAGTTCAACATGTAAGAAGTAGAAAGTACAGGTATTTGTGTTCAACATGTAAGAAGTAGAAAGTTCAGGTATTTGTGTTCAACATGTAAGAAGTAGAAAGTTCAGGTATTTGTGTTCAACATGTAAGAAGTAGAAAGTACAGGTATTTGTGTTCAACATGTAAGAAGTAGAAAGTTCAGGTATTTGTGTTCAACATGTAGGCTAAGAAGTAGAAAGTTCAGGTATTTGTGTTCAAAATGTAAGAAGTCAAAGTAAAAAGTCGTCAGAAAAACAAGTAGTGGAGTGAAGTACTGATACCAGAACAATGTACTTAAGTATAATAAAGTATTTGTACGCCACCACTTCCCACCTCTGCTTTTAACTGAGTCTCTCTTTCTCTCTGCAGTATCCGTCGTGGCTGCCACGCTCTGATCCACCACCACATCTTCACCAACCTCATCCTCGTCTTCATCATCCTCAGCAGCTGCTCGCTGGCGGCCGAGGATCCAATCAGAGCTCACTCCTTCAGGAACAATGTGAGTGTCAAATCCTCTGCTTTTATCTCTCTGTTTCTGGCCTTCATTATGTTACCTTTGTCCATTTAATTAAACAAATAAATTACAAATATTCATATGAACTTGAAAAGTGAAATGTCTATTAAAAATAACATAAAAATGTTTGATCAGAAAATGTATACAAAATTGAGAAGGTAAAGTTCAAATTTGCACATTGAACTACACAATATAACACATTACAATACATACATACATGTATTACTTACTATTAATAAGATATTAATGCTGAATTACACAGTGTTATGGGTCTTTATGAAAATAAATGTACTTAGTTAGATTACACCACTGGTTTCATGATATGTAGCGCTGCTGTTAGCCGTTAGCTGTTAGCAGTTAGCTGCTAGCTGCTGTAGAAACATGCCAACTTGCTCGTGGTGTGATCTTATTAAACTTCTTATTATGTATTTATTTCAACAAGGACACAATGCAAATACATTAATCTCAGTAAAGAGAAGAGATTAATTATGCCAGATTTGAGCTAATAGCTAATTCCCATCTGCAGTCATATAGGGTAGGGTGACCAGACGTCCCTGTTTTCCGGGCACAGTCCCCGTTCGTATTGGCCTCTCCCCGGTTGAAACTGTCCCCGGAAATGTCCCCGTTTTTTATATATGTTAAAAACACATAGCAAGGTGAAATAAAACGCTTCATGTCAGGAAACACTGGGTAAACAGAATGCGGTCAAGCCAGCCCCCACTTCGGAAAACACAGTCAAGCCAGCACGCACGTTGTATTATGGTGCGCGAATATCCTATGCATTACGGTGGAGGCCCTTAAAAACTGCCTTCAAAATAAAAGCGATTACTCGGTCAATAACAAATATACCTAAAAAACACACCAAACACTTAAATTAAGAAATATGTACTATATAATGTGATCAATAATAATTTAAAACAAACTACGTATAACTACCACATTATAACTAAGTGAATGTAAAATGTAAGTATACAGTTATGAAGACATATCTGACATTTCCACTGGGTGACTAATTTCAATTGATGTTGACACCATCTCACAACACTCCTAAAATAACATTACTTTCTGAAGCACAATTTAAAATGTATGCTGTTTAAAATCTCAAATTAGATCTATTGTCCATCTATATTTTGATTATTATTTAATGGAAACTGTCCATAATCAAAGAGTCATTCGAAGTCAATCAAATACTTATTTCACTTCAGGGTGATAGCAGGACACCGCATCTAGTCAATCAGAGAAAATCAGGACAATCTGATGTAGAATTTCAAAATAAAATACTTTTGAAATCTCATATATGGGCTATCGTCCTTCTGCTTTTATACAAGAATAAATAATAAACTGTCAAATTATCAAAGACTTATTTCACTCCAGGGTGATAGCAAGACACCCCATCTAGTCACTCAGATAGAATCAGGACAATCTGATGTAGAATTTCAAAATAAAAGACCTTTGAAGTCTCATATATGAGCTGTCTTCCTTCTGTTTGTATCCAACAGTTCAAATGTTCGAATTACATTAAACCAGAATTGTCCCCCTTTTTTCTTTAACAGTGAAGAAAATTGGATATGTTAATGAGATATTGACCGCAAAACTCAAAATGTCCCCGGTTTTAATATTGAAAATCTGGTCACCTTAAGTTAGCTGCTAGCTGCTGTAGAAACATGCTAACTTGTTCGTGGTGTGATCTTATTAAACTTCTTATTATGTATTTATTTCAACAAGGACACAATGCATACAAATACATTAATCTCAGTAAAGAGAAGAGATGAATTATGCCAGATGTGAGCTAATAGCTAATTCCCATCTGCAGTCCTTAGGTAGGTACACAACAATCAACAAACACTAAAAACATTGCATAATCTCTATCACACAAACAATTATAAAACATGATTCAAGTACAGGTCAATAAAATAATACATAGTACAATTAAAATATAATTACCATACAGTTACAATTGAAAGACTCAGATTACAGTGTAATAATGTTGGCATGACTGGTTGCTTAGTATAACAAATGTTGCATCATAAGAGAATGAGTTAAAGTCAGTGCAGGTAACCTCTGGATGTGATGAGTTCCCGGTGTGGAGAATAGTTGCCTCCCTGATAATGACGGAGTATCTGAATGTGTCTCTGGATGTCTCATCACGATAATGATGCGGACACACACCTCTGAGGTCTGAGCGGGGCGGCAGCAGATTACCGAAGATCTGGGTCACTGATTTACCGGGTTATAGAGGGAAACACATGGAGGGAGAAAATCACCAGTTTACTGTCTGATCCTGAGAAAAACTGTACACACACACGCACACACACACAAACACACACACACACACACACACACACACACACACACACACGTGTACACACACAGAAACACGCACACACACACGCTGTGCAGCAGCTGGCTTCATGCAAGACGTAGCAATTAGCAGCAGCTGAGGGAAGAAATTACTTATAACATACAATCAACACACACACACACACACACACACACACACACACACACACACACACACACACACACACACACACACACACACACACACACACACTGAGACGAAGTTAACTCGTTATTAGTCGCCTCTGTCCTGGATAAAAAGACACAAATGAGGAAAATGATTCTTTAATTGGTCCGGTATTGAGCATTATTTAGTTTGTATTGTAATTATTTATTGCTGGTCGTGTGTAACTGTACTGTATATATCGAGATGAAGATGTAAACTGTAATATAAACACCATGTTACTCCATTACTGTATATATTAGTCCTCTTAAAGTGCTTATTTGTGTCCCTTTTAGACTCAGATGTTCACTAGAAACATTATGGAAATAAATGTTCCTGCTCTGTATCGAGGAAAATAAAAACGTTTTATTTAATATTGATTTTATTTTATAACCGTCTCATATTATCTCTCAAAAATCTTTAAAAAAAACCTTTAAAGTCATAAACTATATCTGAGTATTTCTTTTTTCCATGTCTGTCTTTAAATGTTTTTATTATTGTATTTGTTTGTGTAGATTCTGGGATATGCCGACTACGCCTTCACCTCCATCTTCACTGTGGAGATTATGTTTAAGGTGAACAAACTATAACCTTGAGTTAGCATTAAATAACGTTCTTGTTTTCTTATTCTTGTTGGTTGTTGTTGTTGTTGTTGTTCTCTGTCTTTAATGTTCTCTCTCTGTTTTACAGATGGTGGTTCACGGAGCGTTCCTCCACCCGGGCTCGTTCTGCAGGAACTGGTTCAATCTGCTGGATCTCCTGGTGGTCAGCGTGTCGCTCGTCTCCTTCTTCCTCCAGTCAGTACCACATCAGTTTGAAAACAATTCTTTCACATTTTACTTAGAGTTCAAGATAATTCATTCTTTTTACAATATTCTTATTGAAGTTTTCAAATATAACGAATATTACACATACATAAAACGGTCAGTCTAGGTGGCAGTGTACGATCAAATGAATAGGCATGTAAATAAACACAGGTCAGTACACTATATGGGGAGGCTGTGGCTCAGTGGATAGTGTGCTGGACTTTGATTCAGGGGATAGAAAGTTCGAGTCCCACTGCCGTCAGCATGTCGTTGTGTCCCTGAGACACTTCACCCCAAATTGCTCTTGTGGCGATTGTCCACAGGATTGAATGTGTGTAAGTCGCTGGATAAAAGCGTCTAACAAAGGACACGTAATGTAATGTACAGAAGATACAGGGATAACAAAGTACAGAAATCTGAAAGAATATGACGTGGGCTACGACACTTTATAATCGTGTTGCCTCGCCCCGGTCTTTAGTTTCATTGATTATTACCAACATTATTTTTCAAAAACTCCATGAAGCTCCTGCAGATATTTTCACAAACTGCCAGCTTTCCTTCAGTAATATATGTTAGTTTTTCAAAAGCAACACATGCTGACAGATCCTTAATATATTTATTCATACTTTGTTCACATTGTTCCATTCTATAGCTATTGCCCTCTGAAGACGATTCAAGACAATTTACGTATTTTTTTCTATTATCTTTTCGGACATTTTGCATTCAATTCTTATGTTTATATTAATATCTTTATTTTTATTTTGGTAGTTTGCATCGAATGAGGATTTCAACTATTCAAATGCAGCTGTGATTCAAATGTCTGACCTCTGAAAAAAACCTCAACTGCAAAACAACATCACTTAAGATAACAAAAGGCTTCTCAAAAACCAACTATGATTTTTGTATCTCTCGATTTAAACACTGATTGTTGATTTTTACACTCAGACATGCAGCATTGGTCCTTTGCAGTTTAGCAGTGTGTGTGTGTGTGTGTGTGTGTGTGTGTGTGTGTGTGTGTCTGTGTGTGTGTGTGTGTGTGTGTGTGTGTGTGTGTGTGTGTGTGTGTGTGTGTGTGTGTGTGCTGCCCTCTGCTGGGAGAATACAGCAGCTACAGCTCTTATAACTGCAGCTTTACATGGAGTATAACTTTATATTATGTATAATTGTTTCTGACTCTCTGTGTTTATGTGTTTGCAGCTCCAGTGCGATCTCGGTGGTGAAGATACTGCGAGTCCTCCGAGTGCTCCGACCTCTGAGAGCCATCAACAGAGCCAAAGGACTGAAGGTAAACACACACACACACACTGTTTGAATGATATGACACACCGAAACACACTGACACACACACTGTGTTTGTGTAAATACACTGGATACATACAGTATATTGAAAGGCTTTTTTTAATCAAATGCATCCTAAGTCCCAGGCTCTACACAAAGTGACATACAGTATACTTAAAACATAAAAAAATACAAGTGACCAAGTGTTATATATATATGTGTGTGTGTGTGTGTGTGTGTGTGTGTGTGTGTGTGTGTGTGTGTGTGTGTGTGTGTGTGTGTGTGTGTGTGTGTGTGTGTGTGTGTGGTGTGTGTGTGTGTGGTGTGTGGTGTGTGTGTGTGTGTGTGTGTGTGTGTGTGTGTGTGTGTGTGTGTGTGTGTGTGTGTGTGTGTGTGTGTGTGTGTGTGTGTGTGCAGCATGTGGTCCAGTGTGTGTTTCGTGGCCATCAAGACGATCGGGAACATCATGATCGTCACGACGCTGCTGCAGTTCATGTTCGCCTGCATCGGAGTCCAGCTTTTCAAGGTGAGACTGAACCAGATGGCAAAAGTACACACATCCTTTACTCAAGTAGAAGTACAGATACTCGTACTGACTCTAAATAATAATGATCACGCCACCAAACACACATTCAAACTAAAGGAACCAGCCTGTTTGGAAAATGTGAGAAGTAGAAAGTACAGGTATTTGAGTTCAACATGTAAGAAGTAGAAAGTACAGGTATTTGTGTTCAACATGTAAGAAGTAGAAAGTACAGGTATTTGAGTTCAACATGTAAGAAGTAGAAAGTACAGGTATTTGAGTTCAACATGTAAGAAGTAGAAAGTACAGGTATTTGAGTTCAACATGTAAGAAGTAGAAAGTACAGGTATTTGAGTTCAACATGTAAGAAGTAGAAAGTACAGGTATTTGAGTTCAACATGTAAGAAGTAGAAAGTACAGGTATTTGGGTTCAACATGTAAGAAGTAGAAAGTACAGGTATTAGTGTTCAACATGTAATAAGTAGAAAGTACAGGTATTTGTGTTCAACATGTAAGAAGTAGAAAGTACAGGTATTTGTGTTCAACATGTAAGAAGTAGAAAGTACAGGTATTTGGGTTCAACATGTAAGAAGTAGAAAGTACAGGTATTAGTGTTCAACATGTAATAAGTAGAAAGTACAGGTATTTGTGTTCAACATGTAATAAGTAGAAAGTACAGGTATTTGAGTTCAACATGTAAGAAGTAGAAAGTACAGGTATTTGAGTTCAACATGTAAGAAGTAGAAAGTACAGGTATTTGAGTTCAACATGTAAGAAGTAGAAAGTACAGGTATTTGAGTTCAACATGTAAGAAGTAGAAAGTACAGGTATTTGTATTCAACATGTGAGAAGTAGAAAGTACAAGTATTTGGGTTCAACATGTAAGAAGTAGAAAGTACAGGTATTTGGGTTCAACATGTGAGAAGTAGAAAGTACAGGTATTTGGGTTCAACATGTGAGAAGTAGAAAGTACAGGTATTTGAGTTCAACATGTAAGAAGTAGAAAGTACAGGTATTTGGGTTCAACAGTAAGAAGTAGAAAGTACAGGTATTTGAGTTCAACATGTAAGAAGTAGAAAGTACAGGTATTTGGGTTCAACATGTGAGAAGTAGAAAGTACAGGTATTTGGGTTCAACATGTGAGAAGTAGAAAGTACAGGTATTTGAGTTCAACATGTGAGAAGTAGAAAGTACAGGTATTTGAGTTCAAACATGTAAGAAGTAGAAAGTACAGGTATTTGGGTTCAACATGTGAGAAGTAGAAAGTACAGGTATTTGAGTTCAACATGTAAGAAGTAGAAAGTACAGGTATTTGTGTTCAACATGTAAGAAGTAGAAAGTACAGGTATTTGTGTTCAACATGTAAGAAGTAGAAAGTACAGGTATTTGTGTTCAACATGTAAGAAGTAGAAAGTACAGGTATTTGAGTTCAACATGTAAGAAGTAGAAAGTACAGGTATTTGTGTTCAACATGTAAGAAGTAGAAAGTACAGGTATTTGTGTTCAACATGTAAGAAGTAGAAAGTACAGGTATTTGAGTTCAACATGTAAGAAGTAGAAAGTACAGGTATTTGAGTTCAACATGTAAGAAGTAGAAAGTACAGGAATTTGAGTTCAACATGTAAGAAGTAGAAAGTACAGGTATTTGAGTTCAACATGTAAGAAGTAGAAAGTACAGGTATTTGGGTTCAACATGTAAGAAGTAGAAAGTACAGGTATTTGGGTTCAACATGTAAGAAGTAGAAAGTACAGGTATTTGAGTTCACATGTGAGAAGTAGAAAGTACAGGTATTTGAGTTCAACATGTAAGAAGTAGAAAGTACAGGTATTTGAGTTCAACATGTAAGAGTAGAAAGTACAGGTATTTGAGTTCAACATGTGAAGAGTAAGAAAGTACAGGTATTTGAGTTCAACATGTAAGAAGTAAGAAAGTACAGGTATTTGTGTTCAACATGTGAGAAGTAGAAAGTACAGGTATTTGAGTTCAACATGTAAGAAGTAGAAAGTACAGGTATTTGGGTTCAACATGTAAGAAGTAGAAAGTACAGGTATTTGAGTTCAACATGTAAGAAGTAGAAAGTACAGGTATTTGAGTTCAACATGTACTGTAAGAAGTAGAAAGTACAGGTATTTGGGTTCAAAATGTAAGAAGTAGAAAGTACAGATATTTGAGTTCAACATGTACTGTAAGAAGTAGAAAGTACAGGTATTTGAGTTCAACATGTAAGAAGTAGAAAGTACAGGTATTTGAGTTCAACATGTAAGAAGTAGAAAGTACAGGTATTGAGTTCAACATGTGAGAAGTAGAAAGTACAGGTATTTGAGTTCAACATGTAAGAAGTAGAAAGTACAGGTATTTGAGTTCAACATGTAAGAAGTAGAAAGTACAGGTATTTGTGTTCAACATGTAAGAAGTAGAAAGTACAGGTATTTGGGTTCAACATGTAAGAAGTAGAAAGTACAGGTATTTGAGTTCAACATGTAAGAAGTAGAAAGTACAGGTATTTGGGTTCAACATGTAAGAAGTAGAAAGTACAGGTATTTGAGTTCAACATGTAAGAAGTAGAAAGTACAGGTATTTGAGTTCAACATGTGAGAAGTAGAAAGTACAGGTATTTGAGTTCAACATGTAAGAAGTAGAAAGTAAAAAGTCGTCAGAAAAATAAGTAGTGGAGTAAAGTACTGATATCAGAAAAATGAACAAAGTATTTGTACTCCACTACATCCCACCTCTGACCAGAAGTTCCACGTTTACTTTATTTCCCTTCTGTTTTGTTTTCTTAAGCTGTTTCTGGAGAGTGTGTATATTTTATAACGTTCTTCTAGAAAGAGAAATGAGAAGGTTTTTTTGTTTTGTTATATTGAAGTGCCGTTTGTAACGGAAGTAATGAGTCACATGTTTTTTGTGATTTGTGTTTCAGGGTAAATTTTATCGCTGCACAGACGAAGCCAAACACACTCCTGACCAGTGCAAGTGAGTTTTTAAGCAAGACCTGAACTCATACTTGTCATTGCAAAAGTTATTTCTTTTTGGTCGTTTTGTAGAAACATTTGTATTTGTTTAAAACAATTAATCCAATATCACGGATGCTCATGACGATGACCTAATCTCTTATTTTCAAGAAAAATATACACTAGAGGGGGAGGACGAGAAAAGTTTTTAAGCTTCTGCTTGAAAAATATATTATTATTATATATATATATTATTATTGTTGTATGTTTTGTTTCTGACATTTTCAATCAATTGACTAATAAGTATTTAACTTGGAGACAAGCTTTCTATTTTACATACTCAGATCTGACGTCTGTTGTGTGGTGTGTGTGTGTGTGTGTGTGTGTGTGTGTGTGTGTGTGTGTGTGTGTGTGTGTGTGTGTGTGTGTGTGTGTGTGTGTGTGTGTGTGTGTGTGTGTGTGTGTGTGTGTGTGTGTGTGTGTGTGTGTGTGTGTGTGTGTGTGTGTGTTCAGAGGGACCTTCGTGGTGTATAAAGACGGAGACGTGAACCACCCGATGGTCAGAGAGAGGATTTGGCTGAACAGCGACTTCAACTTCGATAACGTTCTGATGGGGATGATGGCGCTCTTCACCGTCTCCACCTTCGAGGGCTGGCCTGCGTGAGTCTGCAAACAAAAAAACACGTTATTATTATTAACAGAACAGAAACACACCAATGCAATGCAGGCGGAAGTATTCAGATACCTTCATTTTGTGAACATACTAATAAGATGTTTTAAACATTTTTTATATTTTATCTCAATATTTTTCCTCTCCTCAGGCTGCTGTATAAAGCCATCGATGCTAACGGGGAGAACACTGGTCCGATCTACAACTACCGCGTGGAGATCTCCATTTTCTTCATCGTCTACATCATCATCATCGCCTTCTTCATGATGAACATCTTCGTGGGTTTCGTCATCATCACCTTCAGAGAGCAAGGAGAGCAGGAGTACAAGAACTGCGAGCTCGACAAGAACCAGGTAAAAAATCATACTCTGGGAAAATATCATCTCATACAAAGTAATACTTCGAGGTGGGGTCGGTCATTCACTTCAGAAACACTTGTTGTATTGCATGGGATGGAGAAGGAACTGAGCAGGATGAAGATCTGGTTTGACCAATATAAATTAACATTGAACGCAAGCAAAACCAAACTCATAATATTTGGGAATCGATCGACCAATACAGAGAAGAAACTCACTATAAATGGCGTCCAATCAGAAAGAGTATCGGTTATAAAATTCCTTGGAGTAATCATAGACAATAAATTAAGTTGGAAACCACATATAAGCTATATCAAAGCCAACATGTCCAAATCAATAGCAATTCTGAAGCCAAATACCTAATTAATCAAGCTTCTTAGTTTATGCTGTACTGCTCCTCCATACTTCCATACATGATGTATTGTGTGGAAGTTTGGGGGAACACATATAAAACGAGTTATACATAAAACTACCTACAGAGAACCTACGAATAAATTGTTCATCAAACTACACACACTAAAACTACAAGACCTGGTTGACTATAAAACTATTCAAATGATGTTCAAAGCCGCAAATCAACAATTACCTCATAATATCCAGGGACTTCTCACACGGAGAGAAAGCATGCACATGTTGAGAGGAAACTGCATTTTCAAAAAACCACCCGTACGAACAAATGCCAAACTTCATTGCATCTCATCAAAAGGTGTTAGTCTGTGGAATAACTGTAACGATGCACTGAAATATGGTACAAGTATATCTAAACTGAAAGTATTATTTAGGAGTCAAATCATTAATGGTTATGAACAGGACCTGTAAAATCCCATTTGTTATTTCTTGTAATTGTAAAAGTAATTTATTTCTGATTGTTTTGTAAAAAAACAAATTAACTGATGACGATGACCTAATGTTTTATTTATAAGAAAAATACATGTTAGAGGGGGGAGGACCAGAACAGTGTTTTAAGCTTCTTCTTGCCCCTGTTGAACATGACAGAGACTATCTGAGAATTATTGTTGTTTTTGTTATTATTTATTTTTGTTGTTGTTATAATTATTAATTTGAGTGAGAAAAAAAAAAAGGAAAAAAAGAGAATATATATATATATATTATTGTTGTATGTTTTTGTTTCTGACATGTTCGATAAACTGACTAAGACTAAGAAGAATGCTCCGATAGCAATGAATATATTAAATGCTTTGACAATAAATACATTAAACATTTCATCTGTGGAAGCCGTGGCGCTGTAAAAAGCTCGACCAATCATCTGAGCCGGCCCGGCTAAAGTAACTGGACGGCCTACCTGCCTGTCAGCCTTCCATCTGGGCACAAACTTATCTCGTGCCCTCATTGGTCATGTGTGCGTTCGTGTGTGTTGGAGGAGGGGCTCTGTGAGGAAGTCTGAAGGAAGGGGCAGATTTTTTGCGGCTGTGTATTTCAAATTCTAGCGGCACTCGAGCTGGTTTCTCCATTCTTACCCACCTTTAATTGTCTGATCATTTCTGAATTAATTGTATTCAGATCAACCCTTCTCATTTCAATGGACTGCTGTTTTTGTAGGTTTTTCATATTTAAAAATGCATTTATTTATAGAAAAATATGAACTACCTAGAAGATTGGCAGATCTGAGCATCTTTAACAATTGTCCCCCTCTTCTTCATGTCTCTTCTTCATCAACATGTGTCCCATCTTTCTTCATGTCTCCTTCTACATCAACAATGTGTCCCCCTCTTCTTATGTCTCTTCTACATCAACATGTGTCCCCTCCTTCTCCATGTCTCTTCTACATCAACATGTGTCCCCTCTTCTTCATGTCTCTTCTACATCAACATGTGTCCCCTCTTGCTTCATGTCTCTTCTACATCAACATGTGTCCCCTCTTCTTCATGTCTCTTCTACATCAACAGGTGTCCCCTCTTCTTCCATGTCTCTTCTACATCAACATGTGTCCCTCTCTTCTTCATGTCTCTTCTACATCACATAGTGTCTCCTCTTCTTCATGTCTCTTCTACATCAACATGTGTCCCTTCTTCTTCCATTTCTCTTCTACATCAACATGTGTCCCCTCTTCTTCATGTCTCTTCTACATCAACATGTGTCCCCCTCTTCTTCATGTCTCTTCTTCATCAAACATGTGTCCCCTCTTCTTCATGTCTCTTCTAATCAACATGTGTCCCCTCTTCTTCATGTCTCTTCTACATCAACATGTGTCCCCTCTTCTTCATGTCTCTTCTACATCAACATGTGTCCCCTCTTCTTCATGTCTCTCTTACACAAACATGTGTCCCCCTCTTCTTCATGTCCTCTTCTACATCAACATGTTGTCCCCTCCTCTCTTCATGTCTCTTCTCCATTCAACATGTGTCACCCTACTTCTTTTCCCATGTCTGCTTCTACATCAACATGTGTCCCTCTTTCTTCTTCATTCTCTTCTATGCATCAACATGGTGTCTCCTCTTCCTTCATGTCTCTTCTACATGCAACATGTGTCCCTTCTGCTTCATGTCTCTCTATACATCATAAACCCCCATGGGGGGGTGGGGGGTCCCCTCTTCTTCATGTCTCTTTCTACATCAACATGTGTCCCCTCTTCTTCATGTCCTTCTACATCAACATGTGTCCCTCTTCTTCATGTCTCTTCATACATCAACATGTGTCCCTCTCTTCTTCATGTCTCTTCTACATCAACATGTGTCTCCTCTTCTTCATGTCTCTCTACATCAACATGTGTCCCTTCTTCTTCATGTCTCTTCTACATCAACATGTGTCCCCTCTTTTCTTCATGTCTCTTCTACATTCCAACATGTGTCCCCTCTTCTTCATGTCTCTTCTACATCAACATGTGTCCCCTCTTCTTACATGTCTCTTCTACATCACAACATGTGTCCCCCTCTTCTTCATGTCTCTTCTACATCAACATGTGTCCCCCTCTTCTTCATGTCTCTTCTACATCAACATGTGTCCCCTCTTCTTCATGTCTCTTCTACATCAACATGTGTCCCCTCTTCTTCATGTCTCTTCTACATCAACATGTGTCCCTCTCATTCTTCATGTCTCTTCTACATCAACATGTGTCTCCTCTTCTTCATGTCTCTTCTACATCAACATGTGTCTCCTCTTCTTCATGTCTCTTCTACATCAACATGTGTCCCCTCTTCTTTCATGTCTCTTCTACATCAACACGGTCCCCTCTTCTTCATGTCTCTTCTACATCAACATGTGTCCCCTCTTCTTCATGTCTCTTCTTACATCAACATGTGTCCCCTCTTCTTCATGTCTCTTCTACATCAACACGTGTTCCCCTCTTCTTCATGTCTCTTCTTACATCAACATGTGGTCCCTCTTCTTCATGTCTCTTTCTACATCAACATGTGTCCCCTCTTCTTCATGTCTCTTCTACATCAACATGTGTCCCCTCTTCTTCATGTCTCTTCTACATCAACATGTGTCCCCTCTTCTTCATGTCTCTTCTACATCAACATGTGTCCCCTCTTCTTCATGTCTCTTCTACATCAACATGTGTCCCCTCTCTTCAGTCTCTTCTACATCAACATGTGTCCCCCTCTCTTCATGTCTCTTCTACATCAACATGTGTCCCCTCTTCTTCATGTCTCTTCTACATCAACATGTGTCCCCTCTTCTTCATGTCTCTTCTACATCAACATGTGTCCCCTCTTCTTCATGTCTCTTCTACATCAACATGTGTCACCTCTTCTTCATGTCTCTTCTACATCAACATGTGTCCCCTCTTCTTCATGTCTCTTCTACATCAACATGTGTCCCCTCTTCTTCATGTCTCTTCTACATCAACATGTGTCCCCTCTTCTTCATGTCTCTTCTACATCAACATGTGTCTAATCCCTCTTCTTCATGTCTCTTCTAACATCACATGTGTCCCCCTCTTCTTCATGTCTCTTCTACATCAAAATGTGTCCCCTCTTCTTCATGTCTCTTCCACATCAACATGTGTCCCCTCTTCTCATGTCTCTTCCACATCAACATGTGTCCCCTCTTCTTCATGTCTCTTCTACAACAAACATGTGTCCCCTCTTCTTCATGTCTCTTCTACATCAACACGTGTCCCCTCTTCTTCATGTCTCTTCTTCATCAACATGTGTCCCCTCTTCTTCATGTCTCTTCTACATCAACATGTGTCCCCTCTTCTCATGTCTCTTCTACATCAACATGTGTCCCCTCTTCTCATGTCTCTTCTACATCAACATGTGTCCCCTCTTCCATGTCTCTTCTACATCAACATGTGTCTCCTCTTCTTCATGTCTCTTCTACATCAACATGTGTCCCCTTCTTCCATGTCTCTTCTACATCAACATGTCCCCTCTTCTCCATGTCTCTTCTACATCAACATGTGTCCCCTCTTCTCCATGTCTCTTCTACATTAACATGTGTCCCCTCTTTTTCATGTCTCTTCTTACATCAACATGTGTCCCCTCTTCTTCATGTCTCTTCTACATCAACATGTGTCCCCTCTTCTTCATGTCTCCTTCTACATCAACATGTGTCCCCTCTTCTTCATGTCTCTTCTACATCAAACATGTGTCCCCTCTTCTTCATGTCTCTTCTACATCAACATGTGTCCCCTCTTCTTCATGTCTCTTCTACATCAACATGTGTCCCCTCTTCTCCATGTCTCTTCTACATCAACATGTGTCCCCCTCTTCTCCATGTCTCTTCTACATCAACATGTGTCCCCTCTTCTTCATGTCTCTTCTACATCAACATGTGTCCCCTCTTCTTCATGTCTCTTCTACATCAACACTGTGTCCCCCTCTTCTTCATGTCTCTTCTACATACAACATGTGTCCCCTCTTCTTCATGTCTCTTCTACATCAACATGTGTCCCCTCTTCTTCATGTCTCTTCTACATCAACATGTGTCCCCCTCTTCTTCATGTCTCTTCTACATCAAACACGTGTCCCCTCTTCTTCATGTCTCTTCTTCTACATCAACATGTGTCCCCTCTTCTTCTGTCCTCTTCTACATCAACATGTGTCCCCATCTTCTTTCATGTCTCTTCTACATCAACACGTGTTCCCCTCTTCTTCATGTCTCTTCTACATCAACATGTGTCCCCTCTTCCTCATGTCTCTTCTACATCAACATGTGTCCCCTCTTCTCCATGTCTCTTCTACATCAACATGTGTCTCCTCTTCTTCATGTCTCTTCTACATCAACATGTGTCCCCTCTTCTTCTCCATGTCTCTTCTACATCAACATGTGTCCCCTCTTCTTCATGTCTCCTCTACCATCACATGTGTCCCCTCTTCTTCATGTCTCTTCTACATCAACATGTATCCCCCTCTTCTTCACCGTCTCTTCTACATCAACATGTGTCCCCTCTTCTTCATGTCTCTTCTACATCAACATGTGTCCCCCTCTTCTTCATTTCTCTTCTTCATCAACATGTGTCCCCCTCTTCTTCATGTCTTCTTCTACATCAACATGTGTCCCCTCTGTGTAAAGAGACTCTGAAAGTTTCAGGAACCAAAGATTCTCTCTCTTTTTGATCCATTTCTATAAAAACCTGTCTGAAAATGAGCTGATCAGATTTTGGCCACTTTATGATGTCATAACGATGTGTTGTCTTGTGTAACCATTAGCCAATCAGCAACCAAGGTAACCCCCCCCCCCCCCTTATCACCTGAATCTCCTCCTAGAGCACCATTGAGTTTCTTGTAACCAAATGTCTCTCAGAGGGGCGTGGGGAGGGGCTCCTTATTTTCATCTAAAGTAACAGACAGAGAATCAGCACTTTGGAAACAGGGCTGAAACAGAGGGGATTATGGGTAATGCTGCAATGATCTGCCAATCAGAGACAGGTTCTGTATATATCTGAGACCTGTTGATGAAAAACAGTATAATAGGGGACTTTTAAAACATGTATTTTGTCCCCTGTCCTCCGTGTGCAGCGTCAGTGTGTGCAGTACGCTCTGAAGGCCCAGCCGCTGAAGCTCTACATCCCCAAGAACCCGGTCCAGTACAAGTTCTGGTCCATCATCAACTCCTCCGTCTTCGAGTACGTCATGTTCCTCCTCATCCTGCTCAACACCGTCACTCTGGCTGTCCAGGTAAACACACACACACCACACACACACAACACACACACACACACACACCTACACACACCTACACACACCTACACACACACACACACACACACACCACACCACACACACACACACACACACACACACACACACACACACACACACACCTACTTATACTGTACAAACAACGCAAGAAACCACATGTAAAACTTGTATGTGAAGTTCATTATAAAATTGCACAAAACTGTTGTTTATCACAAACCAACCAACATATTTTATTTTTCATAAACCTAAATACGTTCAAATGTACAGAATTAGTGGTCTTTCAAGCTGCACAATAAATGTATTAGATAAAACTAAACTCATTCTGTTCTGTTGACTGTGACTGTGAACCCTTTATGTAAAGACATTGAAGAAGTAATAAAGGTTATGGATCCTTGTTGCATTTAACTGCCTTGTGTTTATTGTATTTTAAATATGTGTGTGTGTGTGTGTGTGTGTGTGTGTGTGTGTGTGTGTGTGTGTGTGTGTGTGTGTGTGTGTGTGTGTGTGTGTGTGTGTGTGTGTGTGTGTGTGTGTGTGTGTGTGTGTGTGTGTGTGTGTGTGTGGTGTGTTTGTGTGTGTGTCCCTTAGCACTATGAGCAGTCTAAAAACTTCAGCCACATCATGGACATCCTGAACATGGTGTTCACGGGTCTCTTCACTGTGGAGATGCTGCTGAAGCTGCTGGCTCTCAGACTCAGGGTGAGCAAAACAAACGCCCCTGGGAAGAAAGCCTGATATATTTACTTTAATTAGTACTTCATTATTATTAGTTCTTACTTGTAATTCTAACTCACTTATTTATTGCTTAATTGAATGCTTAATTGAATGTATTCATTACTTTAATTACTTAGGTGTATTTATTATTTTCTCCTCATTTACTTCATTTAATACTTTATTTTTGCAGCATTACTTTATGGACGCCTGGAACTCATTCGATGCTCTGATCGTGGTCGGCAGCGTCGTCGACATCGTAGTTACTGAGTTCAGTGTGAGTACTCAAACACAACTTTAATTATTTTCCGCCATCAGGTAAAACCATAACATTGAGTTTGGTCATTTAGTACTTCAGCAGAGGTTATCAGAGGGGTCGGCAACCCGCGGCTCTCGGCTCTTTAAGCCCTCTGCTCTGGCTCCCTTGAGCTTAGACAAAAATAAGAAGGAAATAAAACCAAAATGTTTGTAGGACTATTTATATTTTGTTGCATGGTTGAAAATGTTTCATATCTTGTATTTTGAGGTGATACTGTGACACATAAATAAAAAACAAAACGGTTTTAATTAGGTCAACTAAAATATGCGTCACATCCTGCTACGGTCCCGCGCCAGCGCCTTTTTTTGCAGGTGAATAACCTGACCCCCGGCTCGATGATCGGAGGAACACAGAGGGTTTCTGCGTGGTTAGAGTTATCTGCTTTCACAGCAAACGATGCTGGCTTACCGCTATGTTTGATATGTGGAGAGAAGTTGTCAAAGGTGATGCAGCCTTTACATATCGAGGAACAACCCGGGAGAGGAACACAGCTGGCGATCTTCAGTCATAATTCAATCAGTTAACTCTTTTTAGGGTGCAGCTATGTTTTATTTATTTCAAAGTGGGCCCATTTTAATTGTATTCATTTTCTTCAAATGTGCAGAGGCCTTCACTCTCTGACTCTGTGGCAGAAACCCTGGTACACGCCTTCATTATATCCCGTCTGGACTATTGCAATGGAGTCCTGTCCGGGGTTCCCAGCAAAACCCTGGCCAGGCTCCAATACGTCCAGAACTCTGCCGCCAGGCTTCTCACCCGCACCAAGCCATGGCACCATATCACCCTCATCCACCTACATTGGCTGCCGGTCAAGTCCCGGATTCAATACAAAACACTCCTCCTCACGTACAAGTCCCTCCATACCCTCGCCCCCCAGTACTTATCGGACCTCCTCCATCCCTACACCCCTTCTCGGAGTCTGCGGTCCTCAGACACGGGCCTGCTCTCCATCCCCCGCTCTCGCCTCCGTACTGTTGGTGACAGGGCATTCAGTGTTGCGGCCCCCACCCTCTGGAATGCACTTCCTGCCGAGATCCGTAATGCTGCCTCCCTGGACATCTTCAAATCATCACTAAAAACACACCTGTTCACCCTGGCCTTCGGGCCCTAGCCCTTTTCTGGTCCCCCGGCTTCCTTTATTTATTTCTTTGGTTTTCCCGTTGATTGTCTGTTTGTTTTGGGTCCCTTAAAAGGCGCTATATAAATATCCTTTATTATTATTATTATTAGAGGACTCCCCAAGTGCTGTATGGATTTATTTTAAAGTTGGTCTGTTTTTTTAATTCTCCTTATAAGAGTTCTTTGTTTATTATTAGAGGTAAACAGTTTTATATAATGTAATAAATAATAAATGCAAAAAAACTGTAATTTGTTTCTATGATGTAACAATATATACAACTTTATAAGCTATCAAGCTATCAAATATGTGTTGCTGCTCCAGACAAAAACAATTGGTGGAAAAGGGGGCAAAATGGCTCTTTGGGTCAAAAAGGTTGCAGACCCCTGGGTTATCATATCTTAGGTGGTTACATTGAATGGAGCATGCTGCCCTCTGCTGTTTACTGAGAGGAAGGACTTAGTCTTTGTGCTCTCAATCATGCTGTTGTTTTGACGTTAATACATTGATAATAACTCAATTTTAGTCCACTGAGGCAGGTGTATAATAATAATAATAATGAGAGAATAACAATAACCTTCCCCCTCTCTCCCTCCCTCTCGTCTCCCCCTCAGAGTGGGGAGGACAGCTCTCGGGTGTCGATCACCTTCTTCCGCCTGTTTCGAGTCATGCGATTGGTCAAACTGCTGAGTAAAGGCGAAGGAATCCGGACGCTGCTGTGGACCTTCATCAAATCACTGCAGGTCAGGAGGCGGAGCCAATGTCAAGGGGGCGGGCTAACAGGAAGCTGCCTTGCTTTAGGGCACAGTGGCAGAGAGCAGTTTAACTTGTTTCCCTCTTCTACCTTCTTCAGGCTTTGCCGTACGTCGCTCTACTCATCGCCTTGATTTTCTTCATATACGCTGTCGTCGGTATGCAGGTGAGTTCAGAGGGGATCCTGCAGGGGGCGCTCTCATCAAAAACACATCAAGAGCCATGACTTCTCATTGAGAGTAGTTCCAGTTTGGAGTTGTTTTACCAACATTGTACAGCTCATTAAGAGGAAAACAACATTTTGTGGCTTCTAGAAAATTGATTAAAAAACTATTATGGGTTTATGTTTTCATGTCAAAAAGTAATTATTTCTGAACACTGGTAAACATGAAACGAAGAGTTGCTGCCAGATCTCAGAAATATCTAAAAATGAGCGTTTAGTTCAACTATCTTGTGAATTCAGATACAAAAAATTAAGGAAAAGTAATTATTATTTAAAGTCACCTATCATGCTATTTGTAGGCAATAGCATAGGTCTCAGATATATAAAAATATATAAAAAACATGTCTATGAAGTGTTTTGCTCAAAATACCAAACAGATCACCCATTCTAGCCACGCCTCATATCCCTCTATTTCACTTCCTGTTTCAAAAGTGCTGATTTTGGGTATAAAGCTTTAAAAAAATAGATACAAAACAAAAAAGGAGGGGTCTGAGCTCATGCGGGACCCGGCAGCTACTGTCTAAACTAAATGCTGCCGTGATGAAACGCCATATCATGGATTATCAAGGATTCTCTCTGAAACAGTCTGGAGCTCAAAGGCTTTCTCTCTTGCCGGTTATACCACAAGGTGAGTTCCTTTTTACTTCCTGCTTCTTCACACACATGCTCTCCAGTACAGGTTAGCTCTGAGTGTTAGCGATGCTAATGTAAACACCGACCATATTACGTCCAAAACAGTCGGGCATTGTTTCTGATAGAAACGTTTCTGATTGGGCCGTGGATCCACATTTCAGATATTACGTCATATCGGACGCAAATCTGGATCAGCTCCGTTGTTGCCCCGTTTTTAGAGATTTGGGTACGGAGGAAAAGAGAGAGGGTTTTATTTTCTGACGCTGCGTGAGTTCCCTGACACACCGGGGACACATGTTTGTGTATAAAAGACATCAAAAAGTGCATTTTGCATGATAGGTCCCCTTTAAAAAACATTTGAAATACGTTTTATAACCGTGGGCGTAAATATAAAATAATAAGTACCCACTGTTGAGTGAGTTGCTACTGCTGCTGTTTGTTTTTGTTGTTGTTATTATTGTTTTGTGGGTTTTATTATGTTTTATCCTTAATGTTTTGGTATGGTCTCAACTTGTAATTTCTGAAAAATATATATATATTGAAAAAAACAAAACGTTTTAGGGGAGATTATTTCACAAAGTGTTGATGTCTCTAAGATTTCATCAGGCTAGTTTTGGCACTAAGCTAGTTTATCTATGTGATGGAGCTTCCTGCAGTTTATGAACAGCTCATATGTAAATACTTGGCTCACTTCTATACTTACTGAGCCCTTCGGTTTTAACGAGACTGAGTTTGAAATTATACACGAGCTGCAGTTGATTCTCTAACTTTTTTACGCTGTCTCTTTGTCTGACAGACGTTCGGGAAGGTAGCGATGCAAGATTACACTCAGATCAACAGAAACAACAACTTCCAGACGTTTCCTCAGGCTGTTCTCCTCCTCTTCAGGTCAGATATTCCTCCTCCTCCTCCTCCTCCTCCTCCTCCTCCTCCTCCTCCTCCTCCTCCTCCTCCTCCTCCTCCTCCTCCTCCTCCTCCTCCTCCTCTTTCTATAACACTGAAAACATGAACTCGCTGATCTCTAATGTCCTCTTACAGCTCTGGACAGACTCAGATCATAATTACATTATCAATGTTCTGTTGTCAGTGGGCAAAATATTCTTTCCGAGATGTGATTGTGAAAACTAAACTCATCTTCCAGTTGCATTGTGGGAAATGTAGTCTAACGTTATCCATACCTGCTGCTCTGAGTTATATTTCCAATCTATCTCAGAACTTCATGAAGTATTCTGTTCAATGATAACTATTTTTTTGATATTTAACTACAAAAATATGGGTATTTTTACCTGTGTGTGTGTGTGTGTGTGTGTGTGTGTGTGTGTGTGTGTGTGTGTGTGTGTGTGTGTGTGTGTGTGTGTGTGTGTGTGTGTGTGTAGATGTGCCACAGGTGAGGCGTGGCAGGAGATCATGCTGGCCAGTCTTCCAGGTAAACGCTGTGACCCCGAGTCAGACTTCGAACCAGGAGAAGAGTTCAGCTGCGGCAGCTCCTTCGCCATCGTTTATTTCATCAGCTTCTTCATGCTGTGTGCTTTCCTGGTTAGTACACACACACACACACACACACACACACACACACACACACACACACACACACACACACACACACACACACACACACACACACACACACACACACACACACACACACACACACACACACACACACACACACACACACACACACACACACACACACACACACACACACACACACACACACAGTATTTCAGAACAACAATGTGGTAATGTAGCTGTATTAACACACACTGACTGTATATGTCTCTTTAAGATCATCAACTTGTTTGTCGCCGTCATCATGGACAACTTTGACTATCTGACACGTGATTGGTCGATTCTGGGACCCCATCACCTGGACGAGTTCAAGAGGATCTGGTCCGAATACGATCCAGAGGCCAAGTATGTTTGTTTTCAGGGTTCAACATGTTAGCCTTGCTTAGCACATGTTGGAGTTAGTGTCTTCTTTATCATTCAAAATGTATTTTCTTTCCTCAGGGGCCGTATAAAACACCTGGACGTCGTTGCTCTGCTCAGGAGGATTCAGCCTCCTCTGGGTTTTGGGAAACTCTGTCCTCACAGAGTGGCTTGCAAGGTAAAATATACTGCACTCTATACTGTAGTTTGTGTATTAAACAAGTTGGACTGGATGGATGTAATGTAGGAACAATGGGCCTCATACACCAATATCTTTCTAAGTTTATCATCTAATGTTTTTAAGAAAAGTCTATATCAGATTCATGAAGTGTTCCTGAACCGCAGAATTGTTCGTAACTGTGTCCTTATAATGATAAATCCCATTATTCTTCTAAATTAAAGTCCATGCCAGTCGATGCAACACGTCCAAATTAAAGTCTTATGTGAGAATAATTACAAAATATAAAACATTTGTGAAGTGGCTGATGTTTGAAGCCTAATGATAAGTGATAAGGTGTCCCACAGGGGTCTAATGTGGATCCTCTTCTTTTGTCACATCAGGCGACAAAACTCTCGCAATAATATTTGTACACCCATCTGTCACATATAAATAACCTGTCCTTCTATTCTTCTTTTTCCCTCAGCGTCTCGTAGCGATGAACATGCCTCTTAACGCTGACGGGATGGTGACCTTCAATGCCACGCTCTTCGCTCTGGTTCGCACTGCCCTCAAAATCAAAACTGAAGGTATCTGATCTGTTTTTTCTCATTTTAACTTCTGTTGCGGTTTTTCAAATATCTTTCATCATATTTAATGACGTCATCACCCGATACATAAACACATTTTCAATTCAAATGAATGTGCTTCATCAGATTAAATTAGTAAGTCTATTAGTTTTAAATCAAAAATCTTAAATGATTATTAAGAGTAAACTGTTTTTGGTAGTTTTTAGTATAACACCACTTCATTGAATATATATTGAATTACATTAAGGGATGGTATTAAGCTGAAGTGACTGATGCCTTTAGGTTTCTTTGGACACATCTGTATTATTCAGCACCAAGTTGGAAATATCCCAGCTTCATAAACAAAACTAAGCTGTTGACATGAACACAGCTTACAAGTTGGAAACCTGTAATTACGATAACTCTAATAGGACATGAACGCAACATTATTATGATGTATCTCTCTATCTAGGTAACCCTGACCAGGAGAACGAGGAGCTGAGGGCAATCATCAGGAAGATCTGGAAGAAGATGAAACCAAAACTACTGGACGAAGTTATACCGCCACATGAAGGTAATAAAACAACTGAAAACCCTACAACACAAGTAACTATACCACAAACACGACTGATACTCTAATAAACCATGCTGATACTATTGCTGACTGAGCTCTGTGTTGTCCTGCAGAAGAGGAAGTGACCGTCGGGAAGTTTTACGCAACCTTCCTGATTCAGGATTACTTCCGGAAGTTCAGAAAAAGGAAAGAGCAAGGAGATCTGGCTGCAGAGGCCGACGCCTCAAACCCGTCTGCTGTTCAGGTCTGTCTGCCTGTACCTGTGTGTGTCTTTCTGTAATTGTGCGTTTATTTTTTACTGTAATGGAGTGTGTGTTTTCTGTGTGTGTTAGCAGCTGTGTAAGGCCGGTCTGAAGACCCTGCAGGATCTGGGTCCGGAGATGCGTCTGGCTCTGAACGATGACATGGACGAAGACGACGAAAACATGATGGAGGACGAGGAGGAGACCCAGGAGAACGCAGAATATAAGGTCTGTCTGTCTGTCTGTCTGTCTGTCTGTCTGTCTGTCTGTCTGTCTGTCTGTATGTCTGTGTGTCTGTCTGTGTGTCTGTCTGTCTGTCTGTATGTCTGTCTGTCTGTCTGTGTCTCTCTCTGTCTGTCTGTCTGTCTGTGTGTCGGTCTGTCTTTCTGTCTGTCTGTCTGTCTGTCTGTCTGTCTGTCTGTCTGTCTGTCTGTCTGTGTGTCTGTCTGTCTGTGTGTCTGTCTGTCTTTCTGTCTGTCTGTCTGTGTGTCTGTCTGTGTGTCTGTCTGTCTGTCTGTCTGTCTGTCTGTCTGTCTGTCTGTCTGTCTGTCTGTCTGTAGTAAACAGCTGATCTGTCTCTGTCCCTACAGGGTGAGAATGGTTTGGGACCAGAGAAAGATCGACGAGGCTCCCTACTCACACCCACTGGTAAATAAAACAAAAACATATTCTATACATATATATATATATATATATATATATATATATATATATATATATACACATACATATTGTCATACAAAAAATTATAATCATTTTAAGTCAACCTACTAATTTATTCAATAACTAATAGTGGCAGATTCTTTACTGTAAAACCAGCCTTTAAAACATTTTTTTACAAGACTTTGTGTTGCTTGTCCTACAGGTCCTGGTGGTGTGGTCGGAGAAGGCGGCGTGTCTAACGGAGGTCTGGTCCATCGGGTCGGTTCTCTCACTAAGATGCCAAATGGAAACGAACACGACGAACATCTTCGGCGTGGAGACAACGCGAGGTCGTCGTTCAATCAGCACCATCATCGCCGCCCGTCAGCGAAGAACGGCCTGGTGGACCACGGCCACAAGAGACCCTCGTATCACAAACCCATGAGGTACTGCAGAGTGAAAACAAAACATAGTTTAACACAACAGGAGTTTTTTTTTATTAAACAAGGTGCTATAGGCTGCTTGTCAGGTGACAGGTGTACCGGCCAATCACAGTTCTTCTTTCTGCAGGAGGGACTCAAGGGACCGGTACTGGAGGAACGGAGACATGGAGGGGTACGGAGAGCAAGGATACTACAGCAGAGAGGAGGACAACGACAGCATCACCTCCAGAGACAGGTAAACGCAGATCAAAAAACGAATCAGAATTTTAATATTGGATTTCTTATAGTTTTCCAGTCTCTCAAAAAGTGGGATATGAGGGTTTTCTCTGATTTATACAATAATACATTGAATATCTTTCAGTTGGGCATTACAAGAAATGTAAAGACATTACCTTAGACTTTGAAAAACTGGGATAGGCATTTTTTTATTTCCTTTAAAAAAAAGAATTCAAGTAGACTGGCATACACGTGTTTATCCAGATTAATTGTTAGTTGTTACAGATGTGTTACACACATTTGTGTGTGTGTGTCCTTGCAGACCTTACCCTGATGAGTATCCTCTCTACAGAGAACACTATGATGGCCACGCCCCCTACCCCGACAGTAGCTATGGTAACGGATACAACGACGTTCGGAGGACGACCCGGAGACGACTACTTCCTGCCACGCCCACAGGTGTAAATTCACTATATTTATTATATCATCAGTTAATAAGATTAAAGGGGATTAACTAAAATAAAATTATAGATTGAGATTAGAGTATTTTACATGAGATTCAAGTATTGTTTAAGATATCATTTTACATTGTTTGTCTGTTTGTCGTCTGTCAGGTCGTAAGCCTTCTTTTAACATCCAGTGTCTGAGGAGGCAGGGCAGCAGCGACGACCTGCCGATCCCCGGCACGTATCACCCCACCTCCCCTCCACGCCGTGCACGTGCACAGGTAACACACACACACACACACACACCTGTACCCCTCTTATAAGTAAAGTGTAACAAAACAATTCTATAAAAAAGCACAATAGAATCTGCGACATTGGTAAGAAATGGTATACTTCCCGTCTCCTACATGGGCGTGGTCAAATATATTTATATATTTCTTTACCAACGTTAGATATATTTACACAGATAGCAAACATGTTAAGCTTCATTAAAACATTTTAGCCAACTCATTTCCAAATGTAAGTTGATGTTCGCTTCAAATTGTGAAAGAGTTGGACTCACTGTAACACAGAAGAAGAGTATGTTTCTGAGACGGACAAATCAGAAAAATTGGTCTTTAATAAAGTTATTTTCCTCCTGATTTGTGTATCTCACATGGGCCTTTTAGTGTCAGACTGGTTGGAAGATATATGGACTTTTACGTTTGCGACCATGGGGCTAAATAATCTGGTGTAACCCTCATCTCCATTCTGTTCTTCCTCAGCACAACGTCAACAATTACGAGTCCCGTCAATCCTCCGGGCGCTCATCAGTGGCGTCTTCAGCATCCTGGGCGAACCCGTGTCCTCGCCGCGGACGCCTACTCTACGCTCCTCTCATCCTGGTGGAGGAGGAAGGAAGCCCACCGTGGGGAGGAGGAGTAGGAGGGGGAGGAGGAGAGGGAAAGAAGGGAGGAGCAGGAAGAGGTGAGGAGACTCTAACTTAGAACGTGCTAACACTTTAGCTAACACTTGGTAAAGTAACAGTAAACTGGATGATAACATTAATTAAAAACTACAAATGTCATCAAGATAAGAAACCTCAAAGTAATAAGTTCACTTTTGTTGCTTTCCTTTATCCACAGGTGTCAATATCACTGGTGCAACACCCAGACCGGCCTGGTACGGTGGCCCTGCAGGGACATCAGGTAGGAAGGATGGATACAACTAACACACATAGAGCAAACTGGCATCGACACCTGCATGCTTTCTAATGGCCAGCAGGGGGCAACTCCACAAAGAAGTGCGATTCTATAGAAGTCTATGAGAAAATAACCCTAGTTCTAAATTGATTTATTAACTCAGTGAACAATTTTCTGACAAGTTTATTGTCTCAACTACTACTTGAGAATCTTCTTTTATACAACATGGTGTTTATTCTGTACATGATGCATGTATAGAGCAAAATGTACGATAAATCAGGGTAAATGGGAGACAGAGGACAGCGCTCGATAGTAGCACTGTGAAACAAACAAGAAACAAGAGACACATGAAATTGTATTGATATCCATTAATTGAATCTATTTTTTGTCCCTCAAAAAGGGCCGGGGTCATGACTAGTGGGATATATGTGTCGGTCTATGCTGGAGTTAAAAATGGAAACAATTCTCACACACAATTATGAGTATGTCTCTTTATCGTGTATTTGAATGTTTGACATGTTGTTGCAGCTCCTCCACCGTACCGAGCGTACACCACCCTCAGAGTTCCTTCACAACTCGGCGCTCAACTCACCGAGAAACGAGGATCAGCCGACAGTCTGGTGGAGGCGGTGAGGAAACGATGATATTAAGATAATATTAGCTGCAGGCACATTTAGCAGCAACAGCAATAAGAGTGAAACACAGGATATGAATGGTAACAGTAGATGAGAGTACATCAGTGGCGGCGCTAGGGGGGTGGCTACTTGGGCTCAAGCTCCGGATGTTTTCTGAAAAGCTCAGAATGTTTCACTTAAAGCAAGTATTTTTTTTTTTTAAACGTCTCGTGAGTAATGTGCAGTACCAGAGTCCAACAGAGTGGCAGCAGCTGCGGGACAGTCGCCTGCGTACTACGTAGCCTTCCCTGCCCTGAAGAAGAAGTGATCCTTCGTTAGCGTGAAGAGTCTGCTTTATGCGCTCCGCAGTAGCCCCGCTGCGAGGCTCCGGCGAGTTCACAGTTAGCCCCCCCCCCCCCAACAACTTCAAAATTCTGGCTAAACCCCGGATTCTACAATCCTAAATCCGCCACTGGTGTACATCACTGTTGGAATAAGTACTTACAACCTTTACTTAAGTAAAAGTACAAATCCTATGTCTTAATTTCAAAATGTTACTTCAGTAAAAGTACAAAAGTATCAGCATCACAAAATACTCAAAGTACAAAAAGTACTCATTCTGCACTCATTAAGTATAATACTCGAGTATATGCACTTCCAACCACTGGTGTACATAAATACAGATATAAGTGAAGACAATTACGAGTAAATATAGATACATGTCTTAGAGCAAGTACGGGTCCAAAGTATGTCCAAATTGTACATATTGATCAGTAAAATCAAACTTTCTTACTGATTCTTTGCTCTGCTCTCTGCAGGTTCTGATCTCCGAGGGTCTCGGTCTTTACGCTCGGGATCCGAAGTTTGTCGCGTTTGCAAAGCGGGAGATCGCCGACGCGTGTCACATGACGGTTGACGAAATGGAGTCGGCCGCCAGCGATCTGCTCGGCTCGGGGAACCCGTCTCTCCTCGCTAACGCCGCCACGGACCCAGCCATGCTCTACAGCGACGAGGAGCCAATCAGGACGGGCCGCGAGGAGGACGAGCTAGCTGACGAGATGACCTGCGTGACATCGTTTTGACGGGCTGACGCTCTGGACCAATCAGAAAAAAGACTGCGAAAGGCGTCAGAGATTGGCAGGACATTTGACCAATCAGGTTAAAGAAGATAGAAGAGGGCGGAGTTTAATGGACATTTAATGCTGAGATTTGTGAGAAAAATGATGGAAGATGGCCGCCAGCAGAGAGTGACTCAGCGCTGTTGTGCCGCCATAAAGACGTATCTCGTTTGGTAACGCTATGAACGTCGCTTGGCTGCACAGAATCACACTTTACCCACAATGCATTGTTTGACAAGTTGTGTTGTTGTGTTATTATTTATAATTCCCGAAAAGTAATCACCGTTACTGTCAGCCAGCTAAAGAAAGATTAGCATTGTGCCGCAACTGATTAGCTTGAAACTGCCTCCTCTGCCTCAAAGAACAGCACTATAATAAACGCTATATATTAAGTCACTCACTCAGCAGTGTTGGGTTGTGTTGTGACATTTTGCAGACAAACTGTGATGATTTGATTAGTGTTAACATAAGCAGTGGACTGGCAGGAGATCAGCTATGCTCCCAGGGCCCTATATCTGTGATTCAAACTAGCACTGTAAGGGAATGGCTATTTTTAAGGCTTTAATTGCAAAAGAATGAAGTGAGTTGGACGAATCAAATGGAGTTTACATTTGGTACAAATCAGCCACTGAGGAGATGTCATTGTCTAAAGTCATGGTACAAATGGTCTTGAAACAAATTGGGGTTGCATTGAGGAGCGTTTAATCATTAGACTATGAGCTCTACATGATGAACTGTTTACATGGCTTGACACATTTTCCACGTTTACATGCAACCTGGCTTACTCCAATTCAAATGCCCCATGTGTAGCCCCTTTAAATACATTTTATTTACCTATTTTTTCAACTGCAGCCATGTTTCTCCCATGGTATACCCTTGTTACCATTTTGCAAAACTGTGTGCTGGCAGTGTATCTGTTATTGCTGTAAAAACCCCAATCGAAATACATATTCTGAATGCGCTGTATACATGTCCAAAGAAAAACTCGTAGTATTGGCCTATCTGAAGTCTAATCCTGAAATATTGTGAATAATAGTGAGATATTATAATAGTGAAATATGAGTGACAAGACACTTTCTAATTTAAAATAAGGATGAACGTCAACAGTGAACAGTGTGAATGAATGCACAGGTGTTCAGCGTGATTCTGTCAGCTGAGCTTCTATCGTTCAGATGTGAGTTTTTATATCAGGATCTCTGATGTATTTAAATGCTGTAAAACGTGTTGAACTGCCTGCTCTGTGACTCGTAGAGCGGTGTGTGGAGGAATATATTTCTCATATTTTATTAATGTGTATTTTTATTCTCATAAATGAAGGCGTTCAGACGATGAACTGTAAAATACTTTTCTCTTTGTTGTTTTTTTATCGCAGAGGAGAGTGTTTGTTCAGTGTGTTCAGATTTTCTTTTTTAAATGTTTGATACTTTTTATTCTAACAGAGAGAACTGAATGTTTTTTTTGTTTGTTTGTTTTAATTCTGGACGGCAGACAGTCCGGTGTTGTTTATGTCTTGTCTGGATCTTCGTGTTTCCGTCATCTTTTAGCTTTTCTTTCCAACAGTTCGGAGAGTTTCCAGTTATGGGTTTTTTAATACAACGCCTGGATTACCCCAAAATACATCTGCAGATGCCGCGTTCAGCCTGAGAAACAGCTCTGTCTGAACCCTCATTTACCTCAAATAAAGACTGAAAAAAGATTTGTCTCCTCAATGTTTTTTTTAAAATTTGTTGTTAAGTCTGTGAAACAGCTGAAAATTGGACACCTTGTATTTTGCAAGTATAGTATTAGAGTTAGTTTGAATTAGTATTAGAAGGCTTGGGTTATTTAAGTCTAACACAAAAGATAAAGAACATATATAAAAATTAACAACAGAGGTTATATTTAAGATAATTTGGGTTTGTGTAAAAGTTTTCTATTAAGTTCATACATGTCTTACATATTTTATTTGATATTTTACATTTCCAAATACAAGATGAAGAACATAGGAAAAAGACACTTTACATTTATTAAATTATTTATTATATGTAAAAATCGTTATTATAATTATTGTGCTATGATACAAATAATTAATAAAAAAGGTAAATGAATCAAAAAACATTATAATAATTAAAATGTATATTACTTATACCATCCCTAAAAGGTTCTTTCCAACTTATCAAAGTGACATTTTTTAGCCTTTAATTTATTTTTGTCCTGAAATGTAATGACGTAAACATATTGTTTGTTATTTTCACAGATTTCACAGCGTGCCCACTAACGTCTCAGCGTGACCTGAATAGAGTTCACATCTCGCGGGACTTACACCACCCTTGCGAATGCTGTTGACCTCATCTATGTGGAGTTCTCGCGATATTTGCCTACTGACGGCGGTTGGAAATGGAGTCCGAGGGGGCGGGGTGCAGCAGGAGATGTTTGGAGGCTTTTTTTTAATATAAAATTATTTATTTAAATAAAAATGGCCGCCGTGGAGAGCGGAGAGGAAAGACTGTAAGTGTTATTTTTGTATATTTTAACCTCCTTTTAAACTACCGCCACTGCCACCAAACCGTTATCCGTCGTGTGTTTTATTGAAGTAAAAATGTGCGTTGTTTTTTACCCCGGCCTGTCTCAGCGGAGCGGGGTTAGCGGGAATACGTCACCAACTTGCTGCTGTGTCGGAGCAGCTTTAGCTCTTAGCCCGCTCTCGGTGCTCCGCCGGGCCGCTCGGACTTCCACACAACTCCCCGGAAAAGTGAGGCCGGGGCCGGGGAATCTGTGTGTGTCCGCCCGCCTCCGTCAGACACACAGGGGAAGCTAACAGGATGCTAGGTCGTTAGCAAAAACAGAGTGTGTTGTCATTAGACTGCTGTTCTATAACCTGGGTTAACCCCCTCCCTGTTACACACACACATACATACATACATACATACATACACACACGTCCCGTTATATACCATACGCCCCCCTGGTTTATTACTCATTATCTCATCTAATAATATACTATCCTATGTGTATAATTGTCTCTGTACCTATAGTATACATCTATATTTCTGATGCTGCCGTATTTTGGTCTTTTATAGAACATTTTATTTATTTTTTATGGTGTTTTATTTATCTTTTCTACTGAAGATATGTTTACATTTGCTGTTCATTATTTATTTTATTATGTTTATACTTTATTCCACCTTTTAACACACTGCTGCTGTAACAAAAGTATTTCCCAATTTGGGATCATTAAAGTATCTATCTACCGACGTCAGTGCCGCTGAGCAAGGCAGCTGTGTGTATGTGTGTTTGTGTTTTGATAATGTGTGTGTGTGTGTATGTGTGTGTGTACATGTGTGTTTGTTAGTGGAAAGGCTCACTTCCTGTCCTGCTGCTTCATCTCTACCTGCAGCTTCATCATCATAACCATTCAATTAAATTAGCTTTATTGGCATGACCATAAAGACATAATGTATTGCCAAAGCTTTGTACAACTACAACAGGTCATAAACATTTTGAACAAAAGCAAGAATAACATGCATACATTTTAACTATGTGAACTACAAACTACTACTACAAAATGTATTTAAAAAAGAAAGAAAGATTTGAGACCTGGTGTAGATGTAGCAGGGTTCAATAGATGAACCTGAGGGGTCATCTGACAGTAAATGAGGCATGTACAAAATAATGTGCAATTAACAATGATTACACCTACCACTATTGATTGTCTGCCAATTCTTTCCTTGATTAATCAATTATTTTGGCGTAATTTAAATAGGTTAGTAATGCCACTGAATAAAGTTTTGGGGTAACAGTTTCATCACAACAGGAAACTACATGCATGCCGTTTGTGATGCAATCCTAATCAAGAATGCCGCTTTTTTTTATTTACAGGGTCGTTGTTGCACTCCCTGCTCTCAGTGAGCTTTCATTAGGCTAAAAGTGCACTGTATTATTAATCATTATGGCTTATTACCTGCATCTAAAATGTGGTATAATTCCTTCATTCCTAATTATAGACAGCTGGTGTTGCTGCTAATAAAACAACGATTACAAAATATATTATTCTAGTTGTATTTATCACAGATGTTATTTCAATATAATTTATTTCACTTTGATTTGGGATTTCCTCAGGTCCGTTATCATAGGACAGTGTTTGACCTAAATGCAGTTTAAGGTCCACACTGTACAGTTTCAGCACGACATCGCAATGTGCAAAAGTCTCATGGCACGACTTGCAATGCCAAGTAAGGCAAATGACTTCAACTCCCTCATGCTACAACGTTTTTACGGCTTGATACAAAAAATGACTGATCTACATCGAGTCTGCCTGCTAACATTATAACTGATTTAAGGTTTCTAGGATACACAGTTGTTGATCATGTTTGAGTTGGCGGCCTTCATGAAGCCAACCACCGATCACAATCATTCTTAATCAGTTTATCAAACAACCAAAGCAAGCCCTACCTACAACAACTGTATATGGAAATATTTTTGTCAAACCATATACGACCCAGCCCTACATTGTAAAAACGTAGAGATGGAAGGAATTAACTGCGTCAGAGATAGTCGGATTTGATTACTGGATGCAACTCTGCCGTCCAAAAGGAGAAATTACCGCTAAATAAACAAAACACTGAACAGCTACGACCATGTCATGTTATCAGTGATGTTATTTTAACAGGCATGATGTCATCTCTTTTCCACAGTGAGGATAGTGAGGACGAACCCTTCGACCCGCAGCCCCCGTCCAGGGAGAGAGAAAGATCCCACAGTAAGACCAAGAAGAACCGCAGGGAGCGCCACCATGTTGACCGAGATTCAGAGAGCACAGAACCAGCCTCTGTGCTGCAGCCACAGAAGGGGGCGGAGCCACAGACACAGGTAAACACAGGTGGAACAACAATAAACCTGCAATCTGCAATATAGATTTTTTTTTGCAATACTGTGCAATAATCACTTTTATGTGAAAAACACACGTTGTTTTAAATGTCCCAACATTTTTATAATGTCTCAACAACGTGTCAATTAGTTCTTTACATTGCTGTTCATCGTATTTAACCATGAATGTGAACCTACTTGTCTTTGTTTTTATTCTATTACTAATGTGTTCTTTTCTATATTTAATTAGTTAGATTACTTTTTATTATTGCATGCCTTTTTGTGCCACTTTTGCTGTAACGCTGCAAAGTTCCCCGCTGTGGGACTAAAAAAGGAATCCTGATTCTGGTTCTGAACAGAAGTCAGTGGTTACCCAGGTTTTGGAGTCCTGGAGTTTTTTCACATTAGGGTACCATATTATGAACGTTTTGAGGACAATAATCAGTTTTTAAAGGTCACCTATCATGCAAAATCCACTTTTTCATGTCTTTGATACATCAACATGTGTCCCCGGTGTGTCAGGGAACTCACGCAGCGTCAGAAAATAAAACCCTCTCTCTTTTCCTCCGTACCCAAATCTCTAAAAACGGGCTACAACGGAGCTGATCCAGATTTGCGTCCGATATGACGTAATATCTAAAATGTGGACCCACGGCCCAATCAGAAATTTGCTATCAGAAACAATGCCCGACTGTTTTGGACGTAATATGATCTGTGTTTACATTAGCATCGCTAACACTCAGAGCTAACCTGTACTGGAGAGCATGTGTGTGAAGAAGCAGGAAATATAAAAAGGAACTCACCTTGTGGTATAACCGGCAAGAGAGAAAAAAGCATTTGTGCTCCATACTGTTTCAGAAATAATCCTTGATGTGGTTTGGAACATGATATGGCGTTTAATCACGGCAGCATTTAGATGAGTATCTCGTAGAATTCTGATCAGGCATTAGCTCCGCCTCCTATTTTTTTTTTTTCAAGCTAAGTACCTATAATCAGCGTTTCTCTAACAGGGCTGGAATAGAGGGTTATGAGGGATGTCTGAAATGTACGATCCGTTTTTGTATTTTGAGCAAAACACATCGTATGTTTTTATATATTTGTATATATATCTGAGACCCATAATATAAGCCTAAAAATTGCATAATAAGAGACCTTTAATGTCACCTCCGTCCTGCAGGCTTCAGAGGAGCCGGTGGCGGGGCCCTCAGAGCCGGGATCAGAGTCGGCGGCCGGCAGCGAGTCAGCAAGTTCTCCCAGGCAGCGACGCTCTGTGATCCGAGACCGCGGGCCGCTTTACGACGACCCGTCACTGCCCGAAGGCTGGACCCGCAAACTCAAACAGAGGAAGTCTGGTCGCTCAGCCGGGAAGTTCGACGTCTACCTGATCAAGTAATCTAAACCTTATGATGTGTTGGTTTTTCATGAAGAAAGGGAGAATCAAACAGTTTTTATCGTATTTCTCTTTGCTCAGCTCGGACGGTAAAGCCTTAAAGTTACACTGAAATAACTGTTGGAGCATGATATAATACCTGGATGTTAAATATAGTATGAGGGCGCTAACCTCACTTCCGGGGAAAATAAGGAATTAGAGCGAAGCGGAAAATAATTGTTTCTTCATGTCTTAAAGATGCTCATATATTGCACCTCAAACAACAAATAAATCCAGAGTTACGGTTTATTTAGTTCCTTAAACTTTATGAAGTGATAGTTTTTCATGAAGAAAGGGAGAACCATTTATAAATAACGTATTTCTCTTTGTTCAGCTCGGACGGTAAAGCCTTTCGTTCCAAGGTTGAACTTATCGCCTACTTCCAGAAGGTCGGCGACACGACCACCGACCCAAACGATTTT